CTCTGAGCTGAGTGCCATCTCAACAGCCTGCCACGGGCCCCAGCACACTGGCCCCGCCCCTGCCAGGCAGCTGTCTGGACCATTGCCCTGTTGAGTGTCACCAGCACCCCATCAGCAACCTTATCATGGGCGAGTGCCATCCTGGAAGCTGGGCTTCTCAGTATAAGGCCAGACACCTCATGCCCCATCCCTGGTCATATCCACAGGGACAGAATCCATGAAGCAGTTGTTTCTTCGCCCCCACCCCAGTGGAAAGGTCTCCCTTCACCTGCGATGCGGTGCCCAGTTCCACCATTAGTCACCCCTTTGGGTGTAAGGCTTTGGTCACTCCAGGCCCCTGGGAGATCAGGGACGCCCTGGAAGGCGGGTGGGTGATTCCCTGCAGCCAGCAGGTCAGTGACTCTTCACCTAGTGACCAGGGCAGGAAGGAAGCAGAGCACGAGGTGACACACGGAAGTAGAGAGAAGGAGAGATACAGGTTTGCAATCCAGAGGCTGCCTAGGAAGTCCAGGATGCGGTCCTGGAGGGCTGGACTGGGGTGATGGGTACCAGAGAGCTTAAACTTCGGCCTGGCCCTGCCTCTGCCTCCCTTGCTGTGTGCCTTGGGCCAGTGGTACAGCCTCTCTGGCCTCCGTGCTCGCTCAGCTCAGTGACTGTTCAGATCTCTTCCCTTCCACCTTGGCTTGTGCGGTGTGGGCTGTGGGCTGTGGATTCCAAAGGGTGGAGAGGTTGGAGGCTAATTCCTGGGCCCCACATGGACCTTCCTTCTTCCTCTGCCAGGTGTGTGGCAGGCCAGGGTGTGAGGTGGGCCCCGTAATGCAGGGTGGGGTGGAGCTACGGAAGGAGGCTCCTGCCAGATGTGGCTGGTTCCCAACTGGAGGTTGGCCTGGCTGCTGCCCCGAGCCCTGGCCTCCCTGGCTGCCTGACTCGGGCATTCCCTGCTGGGTGCCTGCATTCCTGCCATGCTCAGAGCCTGCCTCAATGCCCACTTTCAAAGGGCTCCTTGAGGTTACTTAGCATTCAAGATCTTTTGGGTCAGTGGGTCAGTTTGGAAGGCTGTTCCTGCCCAGACCAGATGTGGGTCCCATTCCTTGTTGCTCCCTTCAGGGACAACACCCCTTCGCCCATACCGGCCTCCACCCCACCTTCCCCTTGGGCTGCCCTCGTCTTTGACAAGCGGTGAGGTTATGGAGATGACAGGGGCCGGTTGGGGACAGCATCTAGAGAAAATGAGAGGAAGCACGGTGGTCTGCCAGGGAGGCCTGCTTGGAAAACCCACCCGACACAGTCCAGACTTGGCCCAGCCCATTGGCTGCTGGCACAGTGGTGGGAGGGTTGGGCCCATGAGAGGGTCAGGGTCAGGTCTGATTCTTCCCAGCAGGATCGGAGACCCACAGTCAGCCTGGTTGTGGGGAACTACATCCCACACCAGCCATTTCTTGACATCCATCTCTGGCTGGGCCTGGGGCCGGGGCTGGGGCTGGGGCTGGGCCTGGGCCTGGGGCTGGGCCTGGGCCAGGGCCTTGCTGGTCTCCCGCTGTGAGGAAGGGGGGCTCACTGAGGAAGGGGGGCTCATGGGCCCGTGGAATCCGACGGTATGGGGCAGAGCGAGTGTGCTCTGTTTTGGTCCAGAAGGAGCAAGGATTGGCCCTAAATCACATGGAGTGGGTGTCAGGGGAATCTTGTGCCTGGCCAGCCTTTGGGCCATGCCTGTCCCACGTGCCCCTAGCCCCCTTCCCTGCCTGAACTCTTGGTTATTCTGGGAGCTTTTAGCTACCACTTAGTCAGCCACTAATGTGTCAGGCTGGGGAGCGAGAGGGGACACAGTGCCAGACGGCGCTCCTTTTAGGCATCCAGGGTGGGAAGCAGAGGGGTTGGTCAGGCAGGGGGAGCAGGGGGGTCGGGGTGCTGGAGGAGGGGAGTCCTTCCCACCCTGGCCCTGAGGTGCTGCGTGTTGGGAGGAGAGGCCGCCCGGCCCTGGAGACTGGTGGGGTGGGCCTGTGTGTCCTTGGGGCCCGGCATCTGCTCTCCCCATCACCCTGGGCCTCAGCCACCTTCCTGATTCTTCTCGCCTTAGGTCTCTACCCGCCACAGTGAGCTTCCCTACCTTTCTTGGCTGTGTCCATTGCCTGGAATTATCTTTCTGCCTGTTCCTGGCCCATCTAGCTTGGATCTGTCCCCTTCCTCACTATCCCTTTGGATTCATTAAGGAAGCAAAAAAAACATGTTTAGGAATGTGACACTTGCTCCCTAAAAAGGCTGGGCCTTTTTAGGGTAGAGGCCTTGAAGGCTGCCCCCACCCTGGCCCAGCTTTCTCTGTTGGTGCCATGGGGCCATGGATCCTGGCCCCAAGGCTTGGTGCTGCCTTCACTTCCAGGCAGCCCTCCTGCCCCTGAATCCCCAGCCCCCGCTCCTGCGACAGACCGGAACAAAGCTCCCTTTCATGTGCTCATTGCTGCTGCCGCTCAGACACTTCCCCGGCACAATTAGGCCCTTTGAGGGCCTCAGGCGGTGCAGGAGCCGGGCTGGGGCTGGAGTGGAGAAGGGGCCAAGGCCTTGTCCTGGGGCTGAGCTGGTGCCATCCCCCCAGGACACATCACCAGGCACAGAGCCAGGAGGGCGGGAGCCTAGGGGGTCAAGGGAGGCTATGCTCCTGGGCTCCTGTTTGTTCTTCTGCAAAATGGGGTGAGTGGTCTCCGCCTCCCCCAACGCCAGCAGCTGCAGCCAGGATATGAGGAAAATGGGACTCAGGCATTGAGGTCTGAACAGAACGGTCGCAGCCCTGGCACTGTAGCCCGTCCTGCTGCACCCAGTGGTGGCACCCCTCACCCAGCCTCTGTGTCCTCAGGAATCTTTTGTGAGCAGCCCTAAGTTCTACACCAAGACAGTTGTGCTTGAGTTGTGGAGGCTTGCTCTCGGGTGGCTGTCTCACCCCTCTAGCTGGACTCCAGGGCGGGGCTGAGTCTCTGCCTCAGACCCTTCTCTCTAGGGCCGGGCACGCCGGGCCTCTCCCGTGAGGCTTGACCTCGCTCAGGTGCCTCTTTGCCCGTGACTACCCTGTGTGTTGGCTGTGCAGGCCCCTCCTCGAGGCCTGGGGGTGAGGTGACTGGTGGAGGTGGCCAGCCTGCGGCCTCGGGGGCTTCGGATCTCAGGCCCCAGCCCGAACGCAGAGGCAGACACATAGTTTTTCTGTCCATGGCTCTTCCTGGCTGCTGGCTGGCTGGAGGGTGGGAGGTGAGCTGGGCTGCAGGCTGTCTGGATCTCTTGCTGGGCTGTGGGGATGGCGGCTGCTACTCAGGCTGCAGGGAGAGGGGGGCCTTGTGGGAGCTGAGTCAGGGACTCTAATTTTACCCCAGCTGGGAAGGAGGAGGAACCTGGGAGCCTGAGACCTGCCAGTCCCACCAGGGCCTTGGCCAACTCCACCCTCCCACCACCTGGCATAGAGCTGGGCTCTCAGCCCTTGCCCTGCCCAGCTGGGGTGAGGGGCAGTGATCCTCGGGGTAGGGGGGCCTGACATCCTGAACTGCTCAGGCTGTTTGTGGAACACTGGAGGGCGAGATGGACCCAGGGGTACTGAACTCAGCACTTCTCTGCCCACAGTGCTGGTGACAAGAATGCCCCTGGACAAGCCAGCCCATCCTGCCTCCTAGTGTGACCTTGGGCCAGTGTGTCCCCTGGGGCCCTCAGTTTCTGCCTCTGTGCAGTAAGCCAGGCCATAGCTGAGGTGAAGAGGGAGATAATACCACTCCCAGAGATGACTTGGTGCCCCGCAGGGGTGTATCTTAAGGAAAGGGAATGAAGTGAAGGTTGCACAATTTGCCCCCATTAAATGCAGAACAATAGGAATGGCTCAAGTGGCAGCAAGAGGGATTTGGGGGCCAACTTGAGGAAATGGCTGTTCTTTTCCATCTGGGCTGGGCACGTGTCTTGACTGGGTACCAGTGCTAAGCTAGCTGCCCCTGGAGTTGCTGCCGCTGAGTAACTGTGCTCAGGCTGAGTTCCTGGGTGAGGGCTCAGGCTAGTCAGAGGTGGGAAGATGCTAGCTGGGGCTGATTGCCAGGGGCACAGCCACAGGCCATCCCGTCCCTGTAAGTCAGTCCTGCAACCAGGACAACCTCAACAATGTCACTGGAGATGAGACATCTTTTCCCCGGAGACAGCATCTGCAGACAGTTTCCTTTTTGGGCAAAATTGTCCTGATCACCCCTTCTGCTTAAAGTCACAAGCTGTGCTCTGTGAAGGGTCCCCTGCTCCAGAGATGCTGGGAAGGGAGGGCTGATCTTTAATGGGGGTGAGCTGGCATCTCTGGGAAACCAGGCCAGAGTGGCAGCAGGAGCATGGGCTCTGGTTCAGGGCCTGACCGTGACCCTGTGACCTTGGGCTGCCTCTCTCTGGACCTCTGTTTTCCCATCTGTAAAATGAGAGGGAATGGACATTAAAGATTCCTTTCCAGCTCAAATCTAAGCTGACCTGCCTTTGCTAAAGGGCTTGGTTGGGGGCAGGGTTGGAGAGGACTTCCTGAAGGAGGAAATTGGGTTCTGAGCAAAGGAATTCCTGGGAACCTGGGTGCTAAGTTAGCAGCCTTGCTACCTGCAGGGGGTGGGGCGGGCTGCTTGCCCTGTCCTGGGCAGCAGAGAGCTCACAAAGCAGAGCCAGGGGACTTTGGTCCCTCCTGCCTGAGCTTAGCCCCTTAGGAACAGCAAAGTGTGTGTGTGGGGGGGGGTGGGGGGGGGTCTGTTCTTCTCCTGGGTCTCTAAATCCTGCCCCCACCCTAAGGTCGTATGTATTATAGGGCAGGGGCCATGGTTTGCGGTGAGGACAACTGGTCTCTGGATCCCGCCAGGGTGCACACCTCCTACCAGGCACTGAGTCCTGGTGCTACTCCAGCCCAGATCCAAGCACTAGTTGCCAGGCAGATGCCCATGTGCCTGGGGGAGGGGCTCAGGTTCTTCCTGCCCGGGACCCAGCCTCAACATTTCTGCTGATTGCCTCCTTCTTAGGCCGTACGGGGCAGGACCGGGTGGACTTTGGCCTGGCCGAGCCGCACACGGTGCTTTTCCACGAGCCGGGCAGCTCCTCCGTGTGGGTGGGTGGACGAGGCAGGGTCTATCTCTTCGACTTCCCCGAGGGCAAGAACGCCTCCATGCGCACGGTGAGTCTGGAACCCTCTGCCAGCCCCAGGGACACAGTGAGTCCCTCCCTTCCCCTCACCCATCTCTCTTTTTATCTCCTCTCTGGCCTTGGTGAGAGGCCTCAGGGAATCTGGGGAGCTGGCATCTCTTCCTAAACTGGTCTATCCCCATTATATCCCAGAAGTGGTCCCTGGGGGAGGCTCCCCGAAGGTAGCCCATTTTGGCAAAGGTGTGAGGGTGGTGTGAAGAAGCCTGAGCTAATGCGCCTGGCTCGCGGGTCATGCCCATGGCTGGAGGCGCAGGCAGGAAGCTGGGCTCCAGAGACCCAAGGCCCCTGTCTTTTGGGATCTCTGGGCTTTGGCTCTGGGGTTCAGGCGGAGTAGGCTGTGTGATCTGGGGTAAATCACCCGCCCTCTCAGAGCCCCTGTTGCTTACCTGTACGGTGGGCTTGTCTAGAGAATGCATGCATGGAAGCACTTAGAGGGGCCTCTCCCCCCTGCAGTGGACTAATGTTTCTCCCTCCCCCCAGGTGACCATTGGCTCCCCGAAGGAGTCCTGCCGGGACAAGCGGGTGAGTGGGGAAAGGGGGTGCAGAGGGGAGGCACCTTGGGGAAGGGGTGGGGGTTCCTGGAAGTCTGAGAAAGGAGGCCTGGCCCCGCCTTGGGAGCTCCTGCCTGGAGAGCGGTAGCCCTGCCCTGGAGCTCCCAGTCTGAGGGGGAGACACAGTCCTTTGAGGCCTCTGTGCCCTTCCTCTGTTCTTGTGGGGTTGGAGTTAGGGCACCTGCTCTGTGCCCAGACTTCTGATACCTTTTTTCCCAAGATTGAGGGTCCTAGTGCTAGGCCTGCCTGGGCCTCCAAGCAACCTTCCCCCTTCTCCTTCTCCCCTGCAGGACTGTGAGAATTACGTCACGCTCCTAGAGAAGCAGGGTGAGGGGCTGCTGGTCTGTGGCACCAATGCCCGCTTCCCCAGCTGCTGGAGACTGGTGAGAAGGCCCTTCCCATGTGCCCATCAGCTCACCCTTGTCCGGGTGGCCTTCTGCCTCCCACGGTGGAAAGGAGGTGGGGTGACCCTGAGGCTGGCCGCACTGTGTATAGAATCCCTGGAAGGATGGGGACCCTGGCTGGGAAGCTGGCACCCATGGAGGCAGTGGCCATGGGATGATGTGGCTGTCTGACCCTCTTTGGTCTCCCCCAGGTGAATGGCACTGTGGAGTCACTTGGTGAGAAGAGAGGCTATGCCCCCTTCAGCCCGGATGAGAACTCCCTGGTTCTGTTTGATGGTAGGGCTGCTGCGCTGGGCTTGGGGAGGGTGGCCAGCTCCATGTCCAGTGGCCCAGGTGCGGGGGAGGGACTTCTAGGAGCTGTCTGCCCTTACCCGTGCCCCTCCCGCTGTGCCCAGGGGAGGAGGTGTACTCCACAATCCGGAAGCAGGAATTCAACGGGAAGATCCCTCGGTTCCGCCGCATCCAGGGCGAGATTGAGCTGTACACCAGTGATACTGTCATGCAGAGTGAGTCAGGCTGGGGCTGGGCTGGGGTGCTGAGGGGGTGGGAATGCCCAGGGCAGCAGCTGGGATCCTTGTGTTCCATGGGAGGTCCCTGAAGGTCACTGGGGCAGCAGGTAGTCAGGAAAGTGGGAGCTTGGTACAGGCCTGAACAGCCAGAGCTGAAGAAGTTGGCTTGCCAGGGAGCCGGGGCATAGCAGAGACAAAGCGGTGGAAGCAGGATGGGCCCAACACACTCTGGGAACAACACAGAGGGAGCCCCAGGCGCAGCGTGGGGTCCCCATGAGCCGTGGTATATACCTTTGCCATGTTCACGTGGGGGCACCACACCCTCTCTCCTCATTAGGGCTTTGCCAATTAGGCAGAAGTGACATAGGGGACTCAAGGGACCTCCCCCTGCTCCCCAGGCATGAAGTCATTGCTCCTGGGCCGATGACATCTTTGTAAGAGAGGCAAAACAGGTGGGGCGGGGGTATAGAGTCTCAGGCCTCTTGGGCTGTTGGGCCTGGTGTTCGGAGTTTTATTCCAAGTCTGATTTGCCCTGGGCTTGTTTGTGCTGCCTCAGGGGCTGTACAGAGTTGGGGTGGGTCCTCTGAGCCTCCCAGCCTTACGCCCATTTACCTGTGTCCCTCCCCGGCAGACCCACAGTTCATCAAGGCCACCATTGTGCACCAAGACCAGGCCTACGATGACAAGATCTACTACTTCTTCCGAGAGGACAACCCTGACAAGAATCCCGAGGCCCCTCTCAATGTGTCTCGTGTGGCCCAGCTGTGCAGGGTGAGCAGGCGGCTGAGTGGGCAAGTGTGTCTATGCCTGAATATGATGAGTGAGTTGTGTGAGTTCCTGTGTGCAAATGTATACGTATGTTTGTGTGAAGGAGTATGTATTCCTTTGAGAGTGGGTATGAGTGTGTGTCTGTATGAAAGTGTGTTTACACATGTGTGATTTACCTGTATGAAGGTGCTGGGATGTGCGCATCTGTGTCCTGTGTGTGAATGTGCATGTGTGAGAGTGGACAAGTGTGTGTCTGAGCTGGCCTGCTCTGTGGGGACCTGGCACCCTCCCCCTCCAGGTCCCTACATTTGGCCCTGTGCCCTGGGTCAGCCAGGCCTGCCAGCTGGAGCCTGACCCAGGAACCAGGCCTGAGTAGTGGGGCACCTCTGCCTTCTTCTCTGTAGAGCCTCCTTTCCTCCTCAGCACCTCTGTCCATGCTGATATTCTTGGCAGCAGATGCCCTGGGTGTGTGGGCAGCCCGGGTGGGCACTGAGGGCCTCCTCTCCCCTCCACCCTTCCAGGGGGACCAGGGAGGCGAGAGTTCTCTGTCGGCCTCCAAGTGGAACACCTTCCTGAAAGCCATGCTGGTGTGCAGTGACAGTGCCACTAACAAGAACTTCAACAGGCTGCAAGATGTCTTCCTGCTCCCCGACCCTAACGGCCAGTGGAGGGACACTAGGGTCTATGGTGTTTTCTCCAATCCCTGGTGAGTGACCCTCAGCCTGGGGCTGGGCTGATATTGGCTACGTGTCCAGTAGGGATGGGAGGGTTTGGACCCTGCTGAGGAGGTGGCTGATGCAGCTTGAGCAGGGAGCCCAGGCTCAAGGGAGGGGCCTGCTGGGCCTGGGGACAGTCAGTGCCCAGGGAGACATGTGTGCTGGGGTGCTTGTGAATCTGCACACGGGTGTGTGTGCCTGTGCCGTATGCATGCTCGTGGCTGCAGCTCTGCCTGTGCGCCCATCAGCTGGGTGTTCAGGGTGGATGCTGGTCCTGCACAAAGGCTGCTGAGGCCCTTTGGGTGCTGGGTGCGATCACACCCACTCAGGCACTGCCTGTGCTGATAATTCACACCCCTTAATCACTCTCATTGATTGAAAACAAGGCAGGCAAACGTCTTGGGTGTGTGTGGACACAGGTGGTGGGGAGCCAAGGCCCTGCTGTGTGGCTCCTACATGGATAGACCAGCTGGGCTGGGAAGGGGACGGGGCTTGAGTGGAGTCCGGCCTCCCTGGGCATCAGCCTCCTGCAGCTGTGCCCAGAGGTTGGAGAGTCACCTGACAGGTTTGCACATGTTAGGACCCCTCCTGCCTCGGGCTTGGCCTCTGAACCCGGTGATTACGGGACAGGACACAGATTGTGGTTTCGATTGCGGCAGAAAGACCTTAGGCTGAACTTCCGTCCCTCCCCACAACCCTCCGCCTTCTTCCCTCCATCCCCCCACTCCCTTCCATCCTTCAGTGGTGTTCAGGAGCACATAGGCGCTGGGCTTGGCTCACAGGACAGCCCCTTTCCTTGTGGTGTTCGCAGGCCAGGGCGCTTGGCTGGAAGGCTGTGGTTCTGTCCCATCTGGTGCTGGGCTGGTCCGGGTGAGTGCAGGTGGTAGGTCCTGGACCCCCACCGAGATGGTCTCTGTGTGTCCCCCAGGAACTACTCAGCCGTCTGCGTGTATTCCCTTGGAGACATTGACAGGGTCTTCCGCATGTCCTCACTCAAGGGCTATCACACAGGCCTTCCCAGCCCTCGTCCTGGCAAGGTGAGCTGTGACACCCACTGTGGCCCAGATCCCACCTCCCTCTGCCAGCCACCCCACTGACTTGGACCTGTTCTCCTCACACAGTGCCTCCCAGACCGGCAGCCAATCCCCACAGAGACCTTTCAGGTGGCCGATAGTCATCCTGAGGTGGCACAGAGGGTAGAGCCCACGGGACCTCTGAAGACGCCACTCTTCCACTCTAAGTACCACTACCAGAAAGTGGTTGTCCACCGCATGCAAGCCAGCCACGGGGAGACCTTTCATGTGCTTTACCTAACCACAGGTGAGGGGCTACCCTGGGATCCCTGGTCTCCTTTGCACAAATGGCTAAGAAAGGCATAAAGAATAGTGTAATTAACATGTGGTTGGATCTTTATACGGGGAAGGAAGAATTGAGTGACTGAGAGTTGTCAGGGGTTAGTCTGTATGGCTGTAGAAGAGTCAGGCAGGGAGGTGGGGGAGGTAGGGGCAGAGGGCAAAGGAGAGGGTATCCTAGGGTGGGAGAAGAGCAGGCGCCGAGATTCAGAGGCACAGTGTGGGGACTGAGCCCAGCCAGGTGCAGCTTTGGCCGGACGTCTGACTCAGGGAAGATGGTAGGAAGAGATGTGGGAAGTCAGGCGGAAGGACCTGCCCACTGGGTACCCGGTGGGCCTCTGCCAGGTAGAATGGGAAAGTCGGGCTCTCTTCCTCTCCTTTGGGATCCTACTGGTGAGAGGAGACACTTGACGTAGGGTGCAACGAGTTCAGTGCGATGTGGGGGGGGCTTCCAGACAGCAGGGCCTTTGCAGGGGCTTGCAGAGGGGGTAGGGAGTCCTCTTCTTCCCTGGAGGGGGCTTCCCTGAGGGAGCAGGAATTTGCTGGACGGAATGCCCTGGGAGATGCCCCTGCATTTGGGGAGCCACTGGCAATGGAGGAGCCAGCTCTGAGCTGGTTCATGGAAGCTTCCCAGTCCCCGGCTCCAGGCAAAGGGGCTCCTGGGAACAGGCGTGATCGGTGTTGGCAGGGCTGTAGGTCCTCCTGGAGACTGGGTGGTGGTGCAATCAGGAGGATGGTGCCACCTTTCCCCCCTGGTGCCTGGCACCCACCCTGAATTGTTTACCACCTCCTCCCTCCCCATGACTTCCTGCCGTTGCTCTACCTTGGGTCTTTCTCAGCTCATGGTGGGCTCATCAGTTGTTTGGCTCCTGAAAGCTTCTGGGGAGGAATTTCCCACAGGGCATGTCCTGGTTTCTGGGTCCTGAGACCCCACTTCTTTACTCACCATTTCATCCCATGGTCTCCTGCTCTTGCTCTGCTCCAGCAATAACTGGCCTCGCTGCTATGGTCAGTCGGGGGCACCACAGGGCATCGGGGTGCAGAAAAGGAGGGTTCATGCAGTGCAGGACTGGGAGCAGGCACCAGGTCAGGGAAGGCTGGGCTTGGGCAGAGGGAACTGCGGGTTCTTTCCTGCTGAACTAGCAGCACATTTGCCTCGGTTCTCCCTGAGGGCCAATGGAGAGACACCAGTTTGGAGCCTGCAGCAGGAAGTACTGGAGCCAGATAAGAAGTGGAATTTTCTGAGCCCTCTGCAGAGCATGAGAGGCTCTCTCAGCTGGGAGAAGCTGCAGGAGGCTGCTGTGGAAGGAGGCGAAAGGCAGTGTGCTCACGAAGGCAATGGCCGGGCTGGGAGCTTAGCGTGCCGCAGGAGCGGCCGGCTGCATCTCAGAGCCTGCCGAGGAGGGCACGCAGGCGTGCAGAGGGAATGCCCTACACGGGCAGTCATCCGATCATCGGAGTGCTTTTTTGGGACAAGTGATGCCCTGGGAAATTGGGAGGGAGAGAGAGGGAATAAACTATCCTAGAAACTGGGGCAGTGAGGGAGGTGGGATTAGGAGGACCCGGGGGTCAGGGTGCCCATTAGGCCTGACAGCTGTGAATGGAAAGAGCACTGGCCCGGGAGGCAGGCAACCCAGTTATGTGACCTTGGCAATGTCTAAGGTCCTTTTCAGATCTGAGATTTTATAAAAACTGAAAAATCCCCAAAGATTAAATGCAGCATAGAGTCCTGGATTGGATCCTGGAACAAAGGACATTAGTGGAAAAACCCATGAAATCTAAATAAAGCCTGCAGTTGAGTTAATAGTAATGTCCCAGTGTCAGTTGCTCAGTTGTGACAAATGAACCAGTTATGTAAGATGGTAACACTGGGTAGACTGGATGAAGGGTATATGGTAAGTCTCTGTACTATCTTTGCAATTTTTCTGTAAAGTTAAAATTATTTCAGAATAGAAGGTTTATTTAAAGAAAACATTCCCAAAGAATCTAGGAGGCAGGGAAGTCATAGAAGATGCTGAGGCGTGGGATTCTGGCGCCTCTGGGTTCCAGTTACCTGTCATGTGACCTTGAGCAAGCTGCTCAGCCTTTCTGAGCTCATTTCCTTGTTTTGGAGTGGGGAAGATGGCACCCACCTTCCAGGGGTGTGGAGAATTAAGGGAGGTGATAACGCATGCGGGGGCTCCGCACAGTGCCTGGGCCCATGGGGCTGCTGGCGGGACTGCTAGTTCTGTTCCTCATGGTCCAGCCTCCCCTGTGGCCTCGGGGCACCCTGGGCCTCCTGGGATGGCCTCCCTGGGACAGCCTTGGAGACTTCCTGCGCTGCCCTTGGGACAGGCTGCTCCCCTGTCCCTCCCCAGGAATGCCCTCCTTGCCCCACGCTGGTCCTGTCCTGTGACCCTCACCTGAGCTGACTTCCCAGCCTCCCCAAACTGTGTCTTTCCTGGTCAGCGCAGCCTAGAGGGAGGCTGCTTGGCTCTGTGGTGGGATTCCTGCCTGCTGACCCTCTGCCCCTCGCCCACAGACAGGGGCACCATCCACAAGGTGGTGGAACCGGGGGAGCGGGAACACAACCGTGTCTTCAACATCATGGAGATCCAGCCCTTCCGCCGGGCGGCCGCCATCCAGGCGATATTGCTGGATGCTGACCGGGTGAGCCTTCCTACCCTCAGCCTTCATCCTATGGGGCTACCCAGTGTTGGCCAGCTGAGGACAGATTTGCATGTGATTTGCATGTAATTTTAAGAGCCTCTGGGCTGCAGGGCCTGCCAGGCAGCTGGACCCATGGCCTGGGGGCTTAGAACTCAGTGTTGGGGTGGGTGTCCTGGCCTGACCCAAGTCTTGCTTTCCTTGTAGCGGAAGCTGTATGTGAACTCCCAGTGGGAGGTGAGCCAGGTGCCCCTGGACTTGTGTGAGGTCTATGGTGGGGGCTGCCACGGCTGCCTCATGGCTAGAGACCCCTACTGCGGCTGGGACCAGGGCCACTGTTCATCCATCTACCGCTCCCAAGGGTATGTCGGCTGGGATCACTTATCCCTAGGGAGAAAGTGGACACAGGAATTAGGGTGGTGTTGATGGGCTGAAGGAGGTGGGCAGTGTTGGGCCCTCCTGGCCAGATCCTACTCCGGTGGGTACTGCCACTGATACAGGGGTCGGGGAGGAGGGCGGGAAGGGGCCAGGCCTGCAGCCCCCTGTCTGCTTACCTCTCTCCTCCTTCCCTTCCAACCCCAGGCCGCTGCTCCAGTCTGTTAATCCAGATGAGCCGCACAAAGAGTGCCCCGACCCAAAGCCAGGTACCCGGTCTGGCCCTGCTGGGGCCCCAAGCTGATAAGGGCGGTGCAGCCATGCCCCGGCTGCGCTGTCTGGTCCCGGGGGCCCCAGGCAAATGGGGCGGGAGAGCCCTGTGGCAGGAGCCTCCCGGGCAGGGGGGTGGCTGTGAGAGGGGTGTGGTGAGGGAAGCAGGGGAGAGTAAGGAGGAGACTGGCCACTGGTTTCCTTGCGTTCACTTAGAGGCCCTGGCCCTGGAGGCCCTGTCAGTGGGGAAGGACAAAGCCTGCCCTGGGAGCCCTCAGCCCCTCCTCACGCTGTCTCCCCCACCCGTCCCCAGATGAGGCCCCGCTGCAGAAGGTTTCCCTAGCCCAGAACTCTCGCTACTACCTGAGCTGCCCCATGGAATCCCGCCACGCCACCTACTCGTGGCGCCATGGAAAGAACGTGGAGCAGAGCTGCGAGCCCGGCCACCAGAGCCCCAGCTGCATCCTGTTCATTGAGAGCCTCACAGCCCGCCAGTATGGCCACTACCACTGCGAGGCCCAGGAGGGCTCGTACCTTCGGGAGGCTCAGCACTGGGAGCTGCTGCCGGACAATGGTGCCATGGCTGAGCACCTGCTGGGCCACGCCTGTGCCCTGGCTGCCTCTCTCTGGCTGGGCGTCCTGCCCACGCTCGCTCTCGGCCTGCTGGTCCACTAGGGCCTCTTGGAGCGGGGCATGGCCCCGGCTTCCGCAGCCCCGGGGGCGCAGACAAGTCTCACGCCCGGAGCTGGCGGGGCCGGACGGGCCCCTGGCCCACTGCTTCTTCCAGGGGGACTGTGTAAGCCGGTGGGGGCAACAGGCTTGGAGGGGGCCAGCCGCAGGCGGCTGCTGGGCCCTGGGGGGCTGGGGTGGTGGGGCTGGAGGATGACGGCATCGACTGTGAAGCTGGGCCATCGATCACCCAAGACGTTATCTTCTGGAGACTGGTTTTCAAAAACTCCTCACACTTGACTAAATGCAGGGAAGCTCCTGGCCTAAGAGCCCATGGGCCAGAGGGTGGGGTTTGGGACGGGCAGCTGGGACCCCATCTCTGGACCTTGGGGCTGAGGCTGAGTCCTTCTGGACTCCCTGTACCCTAGCTGCCCCCTCACCCTCCTTCCTGTGGTGGCTGGGGGTGGCTGGTGTTTCTACCCCCTGCAGCCCCCTGGACAGCCCTGGGTCCCACTAGGCGGCTGCCTTGCATGTTTATTGAAGGATGTTTGCTTTCCGGACAGAAGGACGGAAAAAGCTCTATTTTTATGTTAGGCTTATTCATGTATAGCTACTTCCGACTGCATCTGTATGAAAATACCAAAACTACATGCTGGGAGTGGGGTGGGAGGGATGGGGGGAGGGGATGGGCTGGGGGAGGGAGTCCCAGTCTGAGGCTCCCAGGGATGGGACAGGATTCGAGTCTAGGGACAGGCATGGGTTCGAGGAGTGTGGCATGAGCTGGCTCTGCCCTGGGAGCCCAGTCTGAGGGGGGCATGGTCCCAGCCCCCAGAGCAGGGGTGGTTGTAGGAGGGGGTGGGGTGAAGGAGACCGGGGAGAAGGAAGGAGACACTGAGCCCTAGGTTCACCGCATTCATTTAGAAGGAGGCGCCAGGTCCTCAGGGGGAGGTTCTAGGACTCTGCCCTTGGCATTGGGGGCTGGGGGGTGGGGCGTCTGCTCCCCTCCCCTCCGTCCCCTTCCCCAGGGGCTGTGCTTCCATGCTCCTAGTCTCCCACCTTCAGCTCAGGACATGTTATAACTTAGGCTAAACTGTGAATTCTGGTGGAGAGGGCCTGGGCCAAGCTCTCCGGGTGGGTGGCTTGCCCCCAGCCCTGCCCATGGATTTCAGCAGAGAGCTGGGCCCTTCTCCGGCTGCGTCTGGCCAGCCCAGGGCAGGGCCTGGGGCCAGTGGCCTTCCAGCTTTGGCCCCTGCATCTCTTCTCAATGCACTTTAATAATGTAACATATTACTAATAAACAAGCTATTTATTTACCTCTGCCTGCTCCTTGCCAGCAAAACTGTCCTGGTCAGGGGATGAGAGGGTGGGGGAACTCCTGTTCGTGACTCAGTACCCCCCTGCCTGTATGAGTCTTGCACACGCTCACCTCCTGGGCCTTACGGACTTAGAGCCCAGGAAGCACTCGGCAGGGCTGCGGGCTAGTGAGAGGCCAGAGCAGAGTCTGAACCTGCAGCTCATGAACGGTGCACGGCCCGCCGAGCCACTGACTGGAGCCTGCAGCTCCTGCACGCCACCTTCTTTCCTCCCCCTCAGGAGCTTTCCCCCTTGCCAGCCTCTACCTCTCACCGTCTTCCCTGGGAGGCCTGCCCTGGCCATGCGAGAAACAGCCTCAGGCCTCCATGTCTTCCAAGGGGCCATTCTGGGAGGGAAAGCTGATCAAATAAGACTTTGTGGCATAAGAAGCGATAGAAGTGTGTGCAAGAGGCTCAAGGGTCTGAGTGGGAGTGAGGCGCTTGCTCCAAGCTGCCTGCAGGCAGGGCACGGGTCTGGGTGAGGGCTGTGTGCAGAGAGGACAGGTGGGCGGGCTTTGTGTGCCTGCCCCAGAACTTGGCTCTGCCCCCCAGGATAGTGGCAAATGCTGAGGTAATACTTGTCTCTTAGAAGCTCTTGAGCCAAGGTAAGGCACAGAGGTATTAGAACTTGGAAGAGCATTTGAGAAGGGCCCCTGCGGCAGGGGGTGGGGTGGGGAGGGGAGGCAGGGTGGTGGGCAGAAGCAGGGACGGAGGGTGCAGAGCGGAGCCCTGATGTCTCCCAGAGGCCTCCTCTCCTGTCTCTTTCCCTCTGTTCCCTTCTTGCCTACCCCTTGTGGCAGGAACCCAGGGCTTTTGGGGGTGTTCTGGGAGATTTTCCTGAGCAGTCGCTGCTGGACAGGGGGATGTGGGACAGTTGCCCTCTCTGAGTTGGTCTGAGCCCCGCTTCTGGGTGGCCCTAGCAGACCGTGCTCAGGGCTGGACTCACCCCAACCCCAGCACTGCCTCCCCCAGTCTGCCCTGTGCTCTCCGGGGCCAGCCCATGCTGAACGTTCTGCCTGGGTCTTTCCTCTGCCACACCCAGCCTTCCCAGGGTGACCAGGGCGGCTGGCAGCAGGTGTTCGCGGCCAGCAGTCAGGGAGTTTGGGAGACCCAGCCGAGCTGCCATCACCCCTTGTCATTCCGGGCAGATCCTGACCTCCCTGAGACTCCTTCTTCCCATGTGTAAGAGCAAGGGCTGGCCCGGGCTCCTGTGGCACCCCCTTCTGCACACCGTGCTGGGTTTGAAGACCAATTTGCTTTGTCCTGGAGGAGCTCAGAATCTCTGTCTTGGCCTCATCTGCCTGTCTTCTCCACGCCAAGCAGCAGCAGTAGTGCAGGGGCTTCAGGGCTACCCCCCACCCCCAGCAAGCCCCTCTTTGGTGGGGGAGAGGGTGGAAGGAGTGGGTTCCAAGTGTGAATTCAAGCTCTCGACACCCCCGATTGCAGGGCAACTTCCAGTGAGGGCCCTGCCCGCTCCAGACTTCAGTGTCAGGGATGATCTTGGTGCACTGACGGCCTGGGGGTCGGGAGATGACTTGAGGGACGGAACACACTCCTTTGTCTCCAGTAGGTTCCAGGAGAGGCCCTGTGGGCGGGAGGAAGTCATGTGCATCCAGGCATGAAATGAGCCCATGTAAATCCCATGTAAATGAGCCAGCATGGAGCGGCAGGTTGGACACAGGCTAATGGGCAGGAAGCACAGCAGGCTTTGCACAGCAGTGGGTGGAAGGACTATTAGGCTGGACCCTAGAGGCACAGAGCTCCACATGATATCATGGCCCCAGCTTTGGTTTCTTGGGTGCCAGCTTGGGGACAGGAGCCAGGCCCGTCCTTCTGCCCTGTGTCTTTTGCATCCCCCTCCCAGGGGTGAAGGAGAAGGAAGGGCAAAATAGGGAGGAGACTGTGACAGAGCAAAGCTCAGCGCTCCTGGGGAAGCCAGAGGAAATGGAGGTTCCTTTATGGCTCCCTGTGCTTCGTCAGTCTAAAGGGCCACTAAGATTCACCTCTGGTTAGCTTTTAACCTGCCATCCTGTCCCCTTGGGGGAGGGCTGCTGCCTTCTCGTCTTTCCCCTGCTTGATACCCTGACTGCCATTCACAGCCCCACACGCCCCTCTCTTCTCTGTCCTCGTCTGCCCTTGGTCTTCCACCTCCCTTGGCCGGAAACGCTCTGCACCTTGGCTCCTGTGAGTCTCTCGCCTGGAATGCCAGCATTAGGATGATCCCAGGCCGAGGTTCAAATAACCTTGAGTTCTTCAGAGGAGTCCTGAACCGTCCCTTCCATCCCCAGCACCAGTGCCTCGCCAACCCTGAGATGCGGGAGCAAGATGAAGCCTTAGGTGGGTGATCAGGAATCAGGCCCTGCCGCCGAGCCCCTTGCAGCTGGGTTGGAGAGGCACATGGGGAGGGCGGCTGGGTGGTGACCACAGGTGTGATGATCCTAGCAGGGAGGGCCCAACCCCTTTGTGGGGATCGGGGAAAGCTGTGAGTGGGCCTTAGAGGAGGAGTAGCAGGTCTCCGAGGGAGAAGTCACTGAAGATTGGAAGGGAACAGCTTTTGTAAAGACCTAGGATGTGCGAGGGCCTGGGGTGTCCGGGCTTGGCTGGAGTAATGCGAGCTCAGTTTGGGTCACAGCTGCATCACTAGCCCCCAGAACAGTGCCTGCGATGCATTCTTGTTGAACGGTGAGTGAGACAGAAGAGGGGAGAGTATCTGGAAGTGAGCCTGAGTGACTCCGTCAGTGACCTAGGATGTGCGAGGGCCTGGGGTGTCCGGGCTTGGCTGGAGTAATGCGAGCTCAGTTTGGGTCACAGCTGCATCACTAGCCCCCAGAACAGTGCCTGCGATGCATTCTTGTTGAACGGTGAGTGAGACAGAAGAGGGGAGAGTATCTGGAAGTGAGCCTGAGTGACTCCGTCAGCGCCAGCTCCTGGGAGCCGCTGAAGGGTTTTGAGCAGGGCTAAGGTGAATGATGATGAAAATGACGATACGGACGCTGGGGGCCTGAGATCCAGTTCTCATACTTTATCACTGCCTGCCTCACTCCAAGCTCATCTCCATCTCCATCCCCAGGCATTTCCGGCTGCCTCAATGGTCCAATTTTAGCCTTTCATTGTCTGGGAAAGCGAGTGGAGAGTGGGCAGGACCAACCCAGCCAGGGTTCTGGCCAGGAGGTCTGCGGGTGTGGGCTGATGGAGAGGGGCTGAAATTGCTAACTCAGGCTCCGGAAATACTTTCATGTTGGTATTGGTTAGCTCCGGAGGAAGAGGCCTTGGGAAAAACAGAAAACAAAACCCACATCCCAACGGTCACCAATGGCTTCAGGCCAGTTCACATGAGAGGAAAGAGCACTGGACCACACCCAGTGGGTATTTGCCCTGGCCGTGTGTTTTCTGTAAGATAGGGCCCATCCAGGACTACTGGGTCCACACCTTACTAAAGTCCCAGAAATGAGAAGGGCAGTTTTATCAGGGTGGGCAAAATGAATGGGCTCAGAAAGCCATAGATGGAGGTGGACACATACTGGGGGTTGAGCCCATAGTACGTGGGCAAACATACAACCTGCAACTTTATTCTGCTCATGGTCCCTGCCGCTGCCTGTAGTAGACATCACTAATCAATTATGGCATTTCTTTCTCCTGAGCTCAGAGGAGTGATTTCCTCCAGAACTGTATTCTCCAGGTACAACTAAGCACTTGAAACGCAGTGCATTTGAGCAGCGATGTGCTGCTGTAAGTACAGAAGACATACTAGATTTCAAGGATATAATATGCAACAAAGAATTTATCTTATTAACAAACTGTTATATTGATAACACTTGGAAATGAAAATATTTTGGATGTATTGGGTTCAATAAAATATATTATGAAAGTTAATCTCAACTGTTTCTTTTAACTTCTATTTAATGTTGCTACTGTTTCCTTTAACTTCTATTTAATGTTGCTACTGTTTCCTTTAACTTCTATTTAATGTTGCTACTGTTTCCTTTAACTTCTATTTAATGTTGCTACTAGAAAATTTATCTGTGTGGCTCGCATGTATTCCTCTTGCGCAGCACTGCTGTAGAATATTTGCTTCGTGGGGGCAGAGAACTTAGTCCTTTTGTTCACAGCTGAATCTCCAGCAACCAGGTCAGTACCTGGCACACAGTAGGTGCTCAACAATTATTTGTGGATTGAATGAATGAATCCTCCTCACTATTGCCCTTCAGGTGGCCACAAGTCGACCATTTTAACTTCTATTTAATGTTGCTACTGTTTCCTTTAACTTCTATTTAATGTTGCTACTGTTTCCTTTAACTTCTATTTAATGT